TAATTGTAATGGTTAAATGACTATAAGAGGAAAAAAATAAGAAAAACCACAACTAATAACATACCAATAATTTTTGAAATACTATATACCAATCCAAGTTGATAAATCCAAGGGAAAGGGGGATCGTCCCTTCGCCCTCCTAAAATACGCCCTCGCTTGTACAATTATATTCTGAAATTATATGCTGTACGTTGTTAACGGAACGAGAAAGAATGCTAATTTATTGTTGTAACTTAATACAACCATATTTCCATAAACATACATGATAGTTAAAATACTTATTATTAAATTAATTGCATTCTGTGTTTAAATTCGATGCCACTTTAAATTACTATAAGATGACGGAACGGCTATGTTTTCGATGTGTTATGACACAATTCAGTTTAATAATAGCCTACTAGCTAAATTATTATTTAAATACACTTACACATTATTAAGAGTATTCCAAAACAGCTGCTATACTAAACACGAATCTGAAAGTTAAAAATCAGGAAATAAATCGTTCGGATAATATATTATACAACTTTGTTCCTTTAAATTAAAAATTTGTTTTTTTTTTTTTTTGTTTTTCGTTTGAAAACATGAAACTCGCATTGGATGTAATCTGACCAAAGAAAAAAAAAAGTGTCTAAAAAGTTATCTATTTTACAAATCACAGCTGGTTAAAATGGATAAAATATCCATTTGCCATTAAAAGTAATATCGAAAAATCAAATACTTTAAGTGATTTCACAACTGCATGCGTATATACAGTTGTTTATTACTAATATATCTGTATACGTGTATACGAGTATATCGATTTTCTTTCTATTCGTAAGTTAGCGAAAAACAATCGACGTGAAAAACAAATAATTAAACGAACTACGAGGTGAGGACACCAAGTGAGGATGTATATTTTACATTCGCAAGTAAGCAATGAAATAAAAAGATAAATTATAAAACTATGTTATCAACCGGATAAGTTGCCGCCACAAGAAGTTCTCTGCATTTTCAGTGTTTCCCCTCTGATATTTTTTGTTTAATTGTATTCATCTGCTCAAATAATACAATTTTCTAATGGTTTTAATTATTAATTAACGCACTTTGACAACCGTGTTCACGCATACTAGCAATCAATCGAATCGGATTACGAACATGTATCTCGTGTGATACATACGTATACATACAGCATGGTCAAATGTTGACTAGCTGTTCACCTATGTATTTTTGTTTCGCCGTTCAGAAAAATTTTGTTTATTCGGAATCAGAGTTTTCTATTAAATTCGCCCGTTTCATAACCACACCGACAATCGGGGTAGACGGTCGTTCCTTTGATTATGTCAAACCCCATAATTTCGTGTTGTGTATAATTTATTATTTTGTTAGCATTTCGATAAATGTTTGCTATTTTTATCCCGAATCACGGGAAAAACTTCAATGATTGTTATAATCCGTGCACGGACGTATTTTTATTTTTTAGTAATTAGTAGTACGCGATCAATCCATAATAATCGTATAAGCAGTGGCGCCGAACAAAATTTTTATTAGTCTAATCAATAGCCATCCAATTTACAACTTACGACCCACTCTACTCAAGAACGTACATTAAGAGATTGGGAGTCAACCCCTCCCTAAAATGTTTAATCTATTTTAATATTTTTGATAGCATTTAGGTACTGAAACATCTTAAATAGTAATTATTAAATGTGCACTATTATAATGTGTAGTTAATTGAATTAATTCACTAATTACTCGTATACTAATCCATCGCGGTACCACCCACCACTCTAAAAAAATGGTCTGGTTATGATCAGACTTCATCACCGAGTTTGGCGCCACTGCGTACTAGTGGTACTCGTAACAATTATTAAATCGATCTCACGTAACCAACGCTCACAGTTCAGTGGCGTTTGAAATGACCAACATTTGAAACCTAACCCTTTGAAAGTCATACCTGGATAATGTGTTTAAGATAATTTCAACAACGTATTATTTTACTGTGTGCATTGTGATTTATGGCAGCGATCCTCGAATCCTCGAGCGTTCATCACGTAGTATGCGAGCTTAAAACAAAAATCGATAAATTACTCTATTCTTAGGAAGTATTGTAATACGCAATTTATGAACGCACAAGATATTCGACATTCAAGAGTTCGGTATAAATGTAAGATAATTATTATATTTTTTTTTCCAAATGTACTGTATAAATAATATTCTTTGCGATGACATGTATACGTTAGTTTTGAGAATGATTCGTTTAAAGGAAACAGTGTTACTACCATAGCAACCGACAAAACAAATGAACACACTATGCTTATGTTCATGTGGTACACTAGTCTTCAAGGTACTGTATAAAACATTGTATCGATCATTGAATTATCATCACGTTTTTTTTTTTATTTATTTATTTACATATACCTATTTATTAAATAGTCGCGTGATGAAAAAAAAAAAATAATCGTAACGTGGCAGTTGAAACGCGTACAATATTTTTTTCAAAAAAACTTGAATAGGCCTACGTAAAAACATATGATTTGAATTACAGAACCATTTCACACATTTACAGAACCACTCAGTATAAATTGTTTAACATAGTTGCAATAAGAACGGTTGCAAACGGTTTGAGGAAATAATTTCTACAATATTTTTAATTCGTTTTATTTTCATTACAGTTTTGTGCTCAGGCGTTACATTGTTTTCGAAAAATAAACAAACGGCCACAAACTACTATTATGCCGGTAAACATACATGAATAATTTATCTGAAAGAGTTATAATCGAATTCGACGTTTCGATATTCGATGTTCGGTACATTATATATGTTTGAACCTGGGGACGCGTTTTAGGTGTTTTTTGTTCGCACAACTGCGATGGTTGTTTTGACTGACGAACGTAACCTCGCATTGTGCTTACATAATGCATTGTTTGTTCAGAATTATGCGCAAAAACAAAATCAGGCCCTGCCGTCCATGACGACGAATTATTATCGAACATAGTTAACATAAACTATATGTATAGTGTTTACTGTGTCACATTTGCATATTTCTTTTATTTGTTTTCAACTTATGCTCGTGCATGTTGATTGCATGCGATGGTAGGTTTTATCGTTGGGCATGCGTATTCGCCTTGGGTAGTTAAGGAGTAAGGGTCGAATAACGCTGTCGAATTCTTGAACGAACGGATTCGTCAGATTATTACCGGTGCAATAAATCATTGCACTATTAATACTGTACGACTCCTTTGTGCAAGCCTAACACTTCTCCGTTTCTCAGCCAAATCGTCTCGAACGTTGAATAATATTATATATATATATATTATTGTACGACGGGTAAGGGGAGAGGGGATACAGTTCACCACGTCAACAGTCAATAATGACGCGTGATCAGCAGTTGACAGAATACCATTTTAGCACGAGTAACTTAAATCCGAATAATAACAAATACCAATAATTAGGTGTATACATTTAATGTTTAATATTTTATTATTTATTACCATATTTTATATTTAAGTATTCAAATAATAAACATAATTGTGTTGTTAATTTGATAATTATATATTTTACGAGATTGTCGAGTCCTTGGAGTCCCGCAACAGGGCTATAAATATTAATCAAAGAACTTCAGAGTATCTATTACAGATACAGTCTAGTCAGCCATATCGTAGGGATTCAGCTAGATGACTCATCAGTAGAAATTCGTTGTTCTTGACGAAAACCGAATATCAATGTTCTAATAAATTTATCTCTATATACAGATTATGTACGTGTACAGTCAAAAATGACAAGAGTCTGTACTGATATTTGATAAAAAAATACCTAGTGCAATAATAATGTCCACTCGTCTGGTCGAGACAATCGTTTTCGAACTTCTTAAAACTTATGAATTATTAATGACGAAGCAATAAAATTTAAGATATTATATTAGGTAGGGATGGGTATGAAATCCAAATATCTGAATTGTCCGGAAATCCGGATATTCAAATCCGAATTTAAATCAAATTCTTATCCGGATTTGCCGAATTATCCGGATTATCCGGATTTATGAATTTGCTTTTTATATAACTAATAATTATTTTTAATTTCTAGTAAAATAAATTATTTTATTTTATTATAATAATAAATTAATATTATATTTTATGAATTTCAATTTATTTATTTACTTATCATGATTTCAACAGTTTTTATTATGTATCATTAGTTACCAAAATTACAATTTATTAAATTGTTGGGTTTACTTTATACCTCTATGACTTACAGTGATATCATGACTGAACACCCAATTACCTTATCTTAACTGCATAACCTTTGCATGGTTATTGAATAACATTTTCTGAAGATAAGTTGAATTTATATTACAATACAATATAAAAATAATACAATAATAATTGTTATCGATGTTATTATTGTTATTAATAATTGTTATTTACATGGGCAAGTTTTCTTACAATTATTAAATAAAAATTATCTTTAAGATCTTTAAGTATTAAAAAGCATCATGTGGAGATATATCATATTGTAGGAATAGTATTTGTAATTGAACAGAAAAATTGAATTGAATTATACGGATAGTTCGGATAATCCATAAAATCTAGATATGCCCATCACTAATATTAGGTATATTAATTTGTTAAGTATGATCAAAAATCAATATGCAGTACAACGTAAAATATATTGTATAATGCAATGTATTGAATAAACTTTTCAGTTCAATAAAATCGAACAATATAGATATACGTTCTATTGTAATTCGATTCTCCAAATTTTATATCATATTTTTTTTTTCTAACGTGGAATTTGTTCACATGTTAAAGTAAAGATTAAACGTGAAAACAAAAACTAAATTCGATTACATGATTACGATTTCATTATTTTTAACAATAGTAATTTAATCCGACTAAAACAGTGGTGAGTAATCTTCACACGCGTTTCCGAATTACACACTTATATGCAGCAGAAAATAAAAATAATATTTAAAAATAATATAAAGCGTTTTTTTAACCGCTATATGCGTTGAATGTTTGTAGCCGATAACATGTGCAACGTGAAATTCAATCCGAGAACGTTAAGAGAACATGATCACCACCGTTCCTCGGTGCCCAGCGAAGAGCCGGAAAACGGTGACTTGGCCCGGCGCCGACCGCTCTCCAAGTCCGACTTTGACCTCAGTTACCCTGAGGACTTGGACAACCTATGCAAGAAGTTCGCGGCCGCGGAACGGCGACATGTCACGATGGACAGCTTGGGATCGACGTCGTCGCCCAGCACCCCGGGCGCCGGTCAAGGATGCTGTCCTTCCGCGATCAACTCGTCTTCCTGCGCCTCCGTCACCGCCCAGTCCACCATACAAAGTATCAACGTGGTGCAAAAGACCCATTCCTTCTTCAACTCCCTAAAGGTAAGGTGTAATGACATGTCAAATAAGGTCACGTGGATTTATGGTATTGTTTTTAGATTATGTTATAAGCCAGTAGTTCCCAGACTTTTTTGATTCACGAATCCCTGAAATAAAACAAATTTAATCACGCCTCCTATGAATACAACACTTTTTATTATTTAAATATAAGCAAATTACTGTTAATTAATCTTAAAATAAATGTATGATAGTGTAATATACAATATAAATATTTACTTCGCACCTCCCTCAATAAGCGCTTGCTCTTCCCAAGGGAGGTGCACCTCACAATTTAGAAACCACTGTTATAGGTTATATTATTTTCAGGTGTGTTCGGTGATACCAAAAAGGTCTTGGAAATATATGAGCTTTAAGGTGTCATTAGAGTTACATTTTTAATGTTGTAATTCGTATGAATCAATTTTTGTTTTTAATCAGTTCAGTTCAATATTTTAAATTTACTTGTAGGTATATCACTTTACTTATGGAAACTTCTAACCAATTAATAAAACATTTAATATTTATTATTTAAATCCTAAGTTCCTCTTCTCCCGTTCACAAAAATGTATACTAATACTACTACTAATTTCGACAAGCGTATTACCAATAATTCTGTTGACGTAAACTATGAACGATTATCGGTCGTGAATCTTGTACAATATTAAAATACGAAAATAGCTACATTAACCGTTAGATCTCCCACTCGCGGATATACCGTACTAATACCAAAATATTGTTATTTAAAATATGTATAAAACCTAAAGTAAACGGCTTATAGTATTTATACTCGAACGGTGTAAACTTTTACGAACATTTTAACACGTCGGAAAATAAACTTTATAAACCAATAACTTTCTCGATTTCCTAGGGTTATAAAATACATTTTACATACCATTAAAAATGTAACACAATCGAATAATGTGTTATCAAATATAAATATCATATTATACCCGATAAAATATACGAAATTCGACAGTTTTGTATAGAACTTATTATGAATGAGTTTTTACAATTGGAAATACTTGAAAAATGAAAGTAAAACTACTACATTCACATCTTAACGTTTATCGTTAGAGACTTTACGTGTGTTTATTATTCGTCAATATTTATATTGCATATTTTGTATTGTAACTAAAAATTTTGAGATTAATATCAATCAAGCTAGAGTAAAAAACAAGCACTTAATCCTACCTCAAATCGTAATCCCAGCCACCATTCAGCCTACGATCTGGAGAAAAATATGGTAGTATTAATGAAATTAGCGTTTGGCTGTCTGACCTTACCACATATAACTTTCTAGTTGTTAGCTGACAGCTGGCGATAGTTCCTATCTAATTTCCTAATCTCAGTATACACAATTAGCTGTTCCTGTAAATAAATCTATTGTCAATGCATGCTCCATCAAATCAAATATTAATTAAACTTATACGTCAACGACTGCTAGTTCAAATCACGTGCAGAGTGAGTTAAGTTTTTCAAACGAGGTATTTTCTTTAATAAATCAAACCCAACCCCGAATTTCAAATTATGAGCAACTAACTGAAACACCCTCTTTCTATAATCGTTCCAATAGAAAACTAATAAAAATTAGTTCAGTCCGTTTTCGTCAGTACGAACAAATTTAATGTTCTTAACGTTCATCAAAACGAAAATTATATTGAAATAAATAAGGCATTTAAAAATAATCTCGAAAATAATACTGAGCAAACAAATCTGTTACCTCAATAAGCTATCCTGTAATATATGTCTTGTGAAGGATACCAGGGTGGTCCATTGGTAGAGTGCCAACTATCATGGATGTTCGATCCATAAAAGATTGCAGAGACATCTATGTTTTGTAACGACAGCTATAAAATTTCATTTCTTTTCCGATTGACGTTTTCATACTATCGGTTACTTTCTTTCTTTTTTTATTATTAAAATGTATTCTGTAATGATTTACGTCATTATATCCGCTCCGTCGAAATTACTCGTACAAATAAAAATATTTTATTCGACTTTGATCCACACGGACGTAAAAAATAAGGTAATAAAGTTGTTGTGATTTTACTGTATTACGAATTATATCTTACGCGATTTTTGTCGGATAACAGTGCAAGTTTTTCGGTATAGCTGGTTTGCAATTATTTGTATCCACCACACACGAAATAACATTCTACATGAGTAGTAATGAATCATTGTACGTTGACGAACACTTAATATGTGTAGTACAGCTTTATGCTGTGACGATTGATTTCTAACAGTTTGTTTCAATTGCTTTTCTGGTCAAACTTTTTAAACATTGTTATTCAATAATCGTTCAACACCGGCGTTCAACTGTTTTTCCTTTATGGTACGATAAAATTTTCTTACTATTAATTCAAAAACAATTAATCGGATTGACGATTATCCTTATTATATTCATTATGAACATTTTTGTAACGACTTTTCGTGGTGGCATCATCATTGAATTATTCGGTATTACAATTTTTATATTCATAGTATCTTTCATAATATTAACATATTATTTTAATTTCGACAAAATAACAGCGTTATAAATATAGGAAACAGTTAATTCCTCAAATCTTAAAAATTTGAAATATGAAAAAAATAAATAATGGTAATCCTACCATCGCATACACTATTTTCATATTTTTTAAATAAAATATAAATACTTTTGATAATAATAAAGAACATGGTGATGATGTACTTCTAGAATTTTATTTTAATGACTCCATTTTTTTTTTTTTTTTTTTGTTTATTTTGTAAATTATAAAGGCTCACCTAAAGCAAACAAAAATTAATGACCCAGATATACAGAATATTGTTTTACCAAAAAATTAGTCTGTTATTAGATGTTCTTCATTGAAAGAAGTGAAACAGGTATTATCAGTAGTATAATTTTGATTTGAATCAGGGAAAAACAATCAGTGTTGATTCGGTGTTGATTCCCAAGACTTCATTTATGTATTTATTGATTCCTGGGAAAAAATACCAATACAACAATAGAAGTTATATTTAGTGGATGGTCACCATAGAATGATATTCTTCTCCATTATATACGGAACGCTAACGCCTAATTAATACTAAATATACGACCTAGATATTAATTAATAATTATATGGGTAGTTCATATTTTATGCCTCTCGCGTAACGTTTATAATTTTTGCCTTTAAGTTACAAGTTTGCCGTCAGGGCGATACAATAATAATTAGTGGTATCGTAGTCTTGATAAAAATATCAACAAACATTGAAGACAATAAGACAATATTTTTTGTAAACAATTTTGCTTATAAACTATATTTAAAAACAAACTATAATCTATATCTAAAATCGAAGCTTGTCACTTCTCTCCACGGATCTTGTGTTTTAAATATTTTTGATTTCTATTGCTTTGTCTACGTTTATTTTCTACGCCATATTATATTTTAGTTTATTATTTTTTTTTCTGAATGCGGTTTCTTTAACATTTTCATGTAACATCGGACTTCTTAACTTATTTCTGATAAATTTAATTTTTTGTAATGTTTGTTTTAAAAATATCTTATCACAGGCCCACAGAATCATTTACAAATATTTTAAAGACATTGTTAAGGCTAAGTACAAAAACAAACAATAAATTCCAAAACAGCAATCTAATATTACTGGTATTTATTTTATGGAAAAAGAAAAAATATTATAACACGAAGCTTTTAAATGACAATTAACCACTATATTGCTTATATTTTTATTTGGTTTTTTTTTTAATTAAATAAACAAAACATTTTAATTTATACAATGGGTTGTAAATAGAAACGTACTTATCTATTCTTTTAAATTTGATTTTCATTCAAAACAATTCTTCCATTGCTTGAAATAATTAAATTTATTCTAACTGATGAATACATCACCCTCTTCCCGTCGAGTAACACAAAACTTATATTTTATATTTTGATGAATTATAGTGTACACCAATCGGTTACACAGAACATTTTAGCTATCGATCTATGTGTTCGGGATGATAGTTGTTTGCCTTAAATAGTAAAACTGACTAATTAATTTTTATCATATGAGTATGATGCAGTATGAAAAAAGGTACAAACCAAAGACAAGCAAATTATATTAAAAGAACCTTATGAAATTAGATAAAATAAGATTTTTGAATGTCAATGAACATTTTCCATCAACAGAGCATCTATTTGGAAAGTATTGAGTGTTTGTTGTTGAGGAATTGCCCTGTTTTAATTCAATAGCAATTATGTTCCGCTACTCTTGTTTGACGACTAGTCTCCGTTCAGCCAGATTGTCGCACAGATTCTTAACGATTTTTACTTATCAAATAATATCGTACTTAAACAATATTATCGAATCGCTGGTTACACTTGTTCATACTGTTGAGACATTTATCATGGATTGCGGCTATAGCTAATAATCGAGCGGGATTAAATTCATCCACACCAATATAAACATCTATAGTAAAGTACAATATATCCGATCAAATTTATTATTATTTTTAAAATAAGAGAATCATTATAGTAGAGTTTTTACGAATGTTTAAAACATTTTATATTTTTTAGAAAAAGAATACTAATTTATGTTAAATTAGTATTTTCCGAACACTCTTTTGAAATTCTATTAAAAATCTTTCTTTTTTTAGAATTCATTAAGATTTCTAATAATTTTAATTATTAATTGTTTTTATTTATTTTTTTTTTTTTATTAGAATCGGTGGTATTCTATCGAGGTAAATAAAATGTAGTACATTTTAATTTAGATTTATAAAAGGTCATTAATGAAAGTAATTTTAGCATTTTAGAAGTGTAAAATTAGTATAATTTATTCAAATAGTTAATAATTTGAAGTAATATACGACTTTATAACATTTTTTTTTTACAGGAAAAATGGTCCAAGGGAAGAAGTAAAGCACGAGGCTCTGATACTGATGAATCGCCTTCCGAATCTCCTATACTGGCAAGATTAGTCCGTCCAGATACATTACAACAAACTAAAGCTTCAGACTCAAAAAATACTCAAAGTTCAATTACGAGTGGTGAGATTTTTAAACAGATTTAATTATATTTTTTTATAAATAACATTTTCTGAAAATTCTTATTTACAAGTCAATAAGAAATTATTTTTTGGATATTATATATTATTATTATACATTATACCAATACGTATGCGTATAATACACGCTTAACTCGCTGGGCCGTTCATTCGTTGGAAACTGTTATCAATTAATCTTAATAAATCGCGAAGACGTCAACATCCGCAACATGATTTTATTGATTTAGAAACTGCAGTTATAGTCGGATGGACATTATTGAACTGCCATAATTAATGGATGCTTAAATTAATTTTTTTCGGTCTGAAGATAATCTGCACAAATATTAACATATTTAATGTTTTATTTTGTTATTTTTCATGACTCACATATTGTACTTAGCAGATTTAATGTCTTTTCTGAACATTAATTAATCGTGATATACAACGTTTCGAGACATTGTTACATGAACTTATATGAAATACCGTATCTTCAATAATACTTATGGCGTTAGTGCTTAGTATAGTGATTTTACGGCGTTATCCACGAATTTGTCTACAATTTATGACGTTATTTGATCATGGCTTATATTATATTTTTGGAGCAATACTTTAAGCATTCAACATATTTATCTACACATACCGAATTTCTTAATAATTTTTTTGTTTTTACCTCATTTTTTTTTTTTTTTTGAACTTACGGTGCTTTTGATTACAAAGTTAATACCCGTAATTAATAGCACATTAATTTTATCAATATTACATGACCGCTGGATTTGCTTTAAATTATTTGATATCATTTTTGTTAAATCAATAGGTTTATAAATTATTTGAGATCATTTTTGTTAAATCAATAGGTTTATAAATGTACAATATCATTGAAGTTAAATACATAAGATAAGCAATTACGATTAAAAATAGGTAATCGTTCAATTGTTTCAGTTGCTATTTGTGCATGACACGTATGCGGCGGTGTTTCAAATATATTTTGTGTTTAAAAACTTCGAGAAATGATTTCTCAACTTAAATTTGTATTAAAAAAGAAAATAATACCGTACCATCTTTTTTACATTGGCTAATTATTCCAATATTCACGGTTTTGTTATCCGCTTAACTTCACTGAAATGTACCCTCTATGAGCAACAATAAATTACCGTACACGTTTTCATTTTGTACATACATGTTTCAGAATTTGGAATAACTCAGAATTGGTTTCAAAAAGTCGTCTCACGCGACCATCAAATTCGGCTCCGGAGACAAAATTCAATCAGATCCGAACAACAAATTGACATGAGTACACCGGTAACTAATAAATTATAATCAGATGATCAGCACATTGGTTAAAACTTATAATATATCTTTAAATTAATTTATCGAAATATCAAACAATAATTCAGTCCGTTAACCGAATTGTGGTAAACGGTGAGTTTCTAATAACAAGCTTAAACTTTTATTGTTAGAAATATGATTTAGAAATTTTAATTAAAACACTGTTGACTGCTGTATCACTTAACTTTGAATGGCTGTACTCATAAGTCGGCAGACGAACTTAGCTTCATTAGCTTGGTGTCCAGATAACTTTATAATTTAAAATCACTTGACAATAACGCTACATAAACTTCTGACAAAAAGTTTTTAATGTTTAAATTTATGTAATGTATATCACTATATCATTTTTATAATTTATACTGGTAAGCACTCTAGCCTTAAGATAAATATAATAAATTATCTTTATTTATATTAGACTGCTTCATAATATTAAATAAATAAATAATTTATTATACTGTGTGAATAATGTTTGCTTTTGCAGGAAGGTGAAAATCCGATCCATAATGAAACTTTGCTCAGAAAATACGATTATTTTCAGCTCAGAATACATCTGAAAAAGGGAAAAGATCTCATTGCTCGGGATAAAAATGGCACGTGTCAATTAAATAAAAATCAGTAATTCGTATCATACGCAGGGTGTCCCGTGAAAATTTCAATTATTTTTATTTTTTCACTTTTGTCAATAAAAACATAGTTGAAATTATAAATTTACAGTGATAACTGATATTATATTATTCACAAGTAGTTAGATTAGGAAACCAATACATTTTATAAAACTAATGACGGAATGAATAATAGGATTGAAGTGAAAGTTAATAAAAAAAATTTGAGTCGGAAGTGAAATACTCTTGGGAAGATAAAAATGAAAACAGGAGTCCTTTACTAGAAGGAAAGGAAATGTCATTGAAAATTGAATTATTGAAATCGCAAATTAATACTTAATGGGGTTGAGTATATAATGGAAGAGAATTAAGTGAAAGCTTGAATGAGTTGTGGGAAACTAAATTGTGCTTTGTTCGAAGTTGAGTGTAAAGTAACGATCGCGTGTACAGGAATGTTTAAATAACTGAACCACAGGTATTGAGTATCGTGGGGAAATTGTGTTTGTGATATTTGGTGGAGTTAAGTGACAAATAAGACCATTTAGATTTCTTGGCGTTATATGAAAGTTTCTGAAGTACAAAAAGAAGATCGAAAGCTGATATTTTTAAAATGGAAAGATTAATAGACAATTTAATCATAAATCCTAGATAATTGACTCGTTCGTAGTCGGTGATACCGATACGACTGAAAACCAAAAATAATTAGAAATTTTATTATGAGAATATATGGGAGAGGGAACTTTGAAAGAATTAAATGAATTAGATGAGGCAGTGAGGAGGTATAATCGTGAGTAGGAAATTATAAGAAGATTATAAAAATTCAGAGAGAATGTCAGTGAATGCTAGTAAAAAACTGAAAAATTTAAATTCAAATAATTCATTGAACAGGTTTTGGAACATGGAATTTACAAGGTTGCCAAGGAGTCTAGATAATTCTTTAGAAAAATAACCAAGGCAGTTATAAGACGATAATTTCGGAGATGTATATTAAGGTTATGTACGGGGTGTTGTATAATGGTAGCCTGAACGATAAATTAAAGGATTCATTTAAGTAGAGAAAATTACCAGCTAGGAGCCGGCTTCTGAGCTCGAGCAAAATATAAGCACATTTCGCTTCTAGATTAGCTAGAGAGAAACGTGCAGGTCACCGATAATGGTACAAAGATAAGATGACAAGATAGAATTTTTTTTTTCTGTGCATAAGAGAAGCAGAAGTAAAGAAGAAAAAAGTTGTTCTTAACAGAGTTGAAGATAGCTTAAAAAACATGATGGATGCAGTGATGGTGCTAAAATAGTTCACTAGGTAGGGCCATTTGGAGACCAAAAATTATAAGATCGAGCCTTGAAAAATGCGATTATATTTATAAACTGTAATTACAAATGATAAAAAATACAAATTTAAGTAGTAGTGTCACAATATTACAGTGCTTAGTAATTATATTATTTATATTTTCGTATTTCTATTGTTAACTATTACAATTTTTTTTTCTCATTCAAAATAATCATATTATTATATTATTTTTTAGATTCGATATCAATGCCTTGTGAAAGTGGTGGTAGTAAGGCTAGGCATTTTTAGGTAAAGCCATAGCTCTACCTGTTCTGCTACTAAATGAATGTGATTCCCAGATAAATCCTACTTTAGCAAAGAGAAAGTTCTACCAGAGAGAATGTATGCCTTTGAAATCATTAAAATGTGGAACCCATCTAACTCGACCCTGGGCTTAGGCCAAGGTCAGTGACCAAGGATGATGGTTGTATAGTTTAAGAGTAAACTGTACTTGGTCTTCTGGTGAATTTCAAAAAATACCTCTTCTCTGAAGCTATGAGGAAGAATGCTACAAAAAATTGAGTGGAGAGTATTTTTAAAAATCATCATCGTCATTTAAAATATCGATATATTTTTTGAAATATTTATTAAAGGTAAATAGAAAAATGTCGTCTGCATAGAGAAGGTCTCTAATGTTCGAAGACACTAAGAAAAAGTTTATGGAAGTACATGTTTATAGTAAAGAGTATAGAGCTTCTCGGACGATCTCTATGTGTTAGATTGTAAAATGTGGTACTTAAAAAAGAAATGAATTTGAGTGACTGTTGAAAATATAATGAAGAAATGAAAAACCAGTGTTAGGATATGTACTAAATCAAAAACATCTTTAATATTTATTAATGCGGCACACCGGTATAGCGGAAGATCAATGTCAATATTATAGTTTGACTTATTAATTTCATATATTTATGAGACACCCTATATACAACTACACAATCATGACTCAGATTTAACATGATTTTATTTCTGAGTAATATTTCTAGGCCTCAGTGACCCTTATGTTAAGTTTAAGATTGGTGGAAGACAAATTTACAAATCAAAAACTGTTAATAAAAGTCTGAATCCAACCTGGGACGAAACGTTCACACACCTGTTGGACGATCCTTTCGAACCGATTCAAATAAAGGTATGGATAATAATAATAATAATAACAATAATAAACAATATATATATTAACAATAATCAATCAAATAATAGTATGTGGTTGAACGATCAATATTTACAGTATAGATCTTGTTTTCCATACAAATCGTATATTTTCTTCGCTTTTTTCCCAACTATTTGGGGTTGGCCTTACTTGCCCTAAATATTCACTTGTCTGGTTTTTCTATATCCCCTACGCACGCAAATCATAATATACTTTACATAATAAACATAATCTTTAAACTTGTAAAAACGCAGGAAATATTTTCCCAAAATCCAATATTAAAAAAAAAAAAAAAAAAATCACAATTTATCTCGTCTCGCGTACAAATCTGGTAAACAAAATTACTGTTCCATTTATAAAACTTTTAAAACATTCGATAATTGTTAAAATTTTGACGAAAAAAAAAATATGTATAATTTTAAATTTTTAGATTTTTCGTTGTTTTTTATAACGAAAAATGAATATCTACTCTCAGTCTGTGTGTATTAATTATTCCAATAATTTTCGCGCTAGTACACATTCAGAGTTTAGAACATTTTATACTCACTCGATTGCTGCGATTGTCACATTAAGGTGGTAGTCGATAGCTTTCATTAGATCGTATATTTCAGTAATTCATTAGCTTAACAAACATTTAAATCGAAAAAAAAATAATAATATAATATCTACTGAATAATTTATTACACTTACATTATACGTTTGGCTAGCACAAATTTTATTGTACATAGACAACGTGCAATTTTTATTTTGTTAATTATGTCAATGATCGATGTTTCACCGTCGGGTCTGTTAATGTGGGAGAATAATCATGTATGCTAACACCCAAATAATTTTAATAGTAATAATAATAGTAGCAATGGTAACATATCCCGTAAGCCTGAGAAAACGTATACAACCGAAAGTTAACGGAAAAAAATTTTTGAAGATCGCATATTATTTTACTCCGAATATCTGCGTTAGAGGCGTCCGTACGATGGAATCGCGCAAATAGTTGCGAAGGCATTGAAACAACTCACTGGCTACACTTTTTGGCATACATTTGGTTTTCGCAGGATGAAACTGAAAGAGAGGGCATATACCTTCGGCAAAAATCTGACGTTACCAATTACTCACGTTCGACATGATTACCAACGATTAATTTGAACTATTATCCGCCATGTTGCGACTTCCATTTAATCAATCAATCAAATTCTAAGATCAATTAGTAGAAAATTTCTGAAAAAATAGCATTAAAATTAATGTAGGATTCCGAAATTCTACGAATATTAACGATCATTACTTTTGGAAATATATTTATTTTGCATAGCTTGAACTTCGTTATCCCAATTGTTTTGTTTATTTATTTATGTAATGCAGTGAATAATAAATTTGATATCAAATGTTTAACTTTCTCCAGTTTTTTTTTTTTTTTTTTTTGAAAGCCGTATACATTATATTTAAAAAATAAAATTTTTAAATAACAAAGACCAACGTTTTACAAAGTACACTTTTAGTATTAATATAACTTCAATGAAAACAAAACGTATGCTTATACAACTATTAATAATTGTCTCCCCTAGTGAAGGTTCACCGGTGAGGGCCTTCTTCCTCGAATAGCTTTTGCCAATTATGTGCGTATTTGATTATAATCATTATTTGCTTCTTATTATACATAAACTATGCATTTCACAAAATAATTACAGTCTTCTACTGAATAAAATTGTAATCACCATTCTGTTATTGGATATGAATTTTTAAAAAATATAGTTATGAAAATGGATACCAGCAAAAATGTTATGAAAATTATAATATTAAATCAACAAAGTACGATTCAAATATAACTAATAACAATAATACATGACATATAGACACGAAATTGAATTATTTTCGAAATAATAGAAATGTATCTTTTGAAAACCAAATCGAATTCAAAGTCGTTTTATTCCTACGCATCCTGTAATTATTAGTTACAATATCTACCGTGATTAGTTCCATTTCATATGAACATGTTCAATATTAATTGAAAATGTGTACAAGTTTTTTAAGTTGAAACAGTCAAAACTTGTATACAGGCAATATACACATTTCTTTTGACCGCCCATCACCTGATTACAATTAATATCTAACAATGGAATTTTATCATGGCTAAGTAATAATAATATTATTATAAACTCCAAAACGAATGCACGATGCACGTATTTTAATAATTTACGTTACAAGGGTAGTGCATTTTAAATTTAAAATTTAATTATCACGTTAAAAAAGACCATAGTTTATATCGTTTCTAAGTATGAGTATTATACTCGCATAATCAACGTTTCATTTTTTATTAACTACTCAAATAATTTTCCACTAAAAATAAAATCATTTATTTAATTATAAATTGAAGGCGATATATTATGTGAAAATAATTTATTATGTTGTATTTAAAAAAACTACTGATTTTTTTTTTCGTCGATTAAGGTTTTCGATTACGATTGGGGCCTTCAAGATGACTTCATGGGAGCAGCGCAGGTTACTTTGACGACCCTAGAATTGGGCAAGTGAGTTTAATTTAATATTATTTTTTGTCGTTAGTGTTACATTAACAACGTTAGTAGTGATTGGATGGCGATGACTATAAAAATACTAAAATGGTGTTGTTGACTCAATTTAAGAAGAAAAAAACTAAAAGAAATAATTGGTTAAAATAAAAAAGCTAGATTATATTTTGTTAGTTTTAAGATTTAATATTTATTGCAAATTATGTATAATATACTTATTTCTTTTTATTTACATAGGAATACATGTTTAGAAAATTTTGAACGTATTATATTATATTTATAACTCTAAACACATTTCAAATTTCAATTACATAAATAAAATTTTATCAACTTTAGATTCTTGATATATTTTATTGTAAATTCTCTTGAACATAATTATTTGTTGCCGAAACTACTAATTTGTAATTTTATAATTGGCATTCTGTTATAATTGATAAATAACTATTGTTAATAATCAAAAATAATTTTTTTCATTAACTGTATATTTATTCATTTAAGTTTATATTATTCCTAATATTTAACTATTTACAGCCTATATAATTACAATTTATTCATAAACATAAATCCCATAACAAGTAAATAATAAGAGACAAATAGTTCAAATATATTATAATCCTACTCACCAGTGCCTCCCACTTGAAAAATATATTTGTTTATGATTACATTTTCATGGTTTCATCACTTGATAAATTCTTTAATCAAAACTACAATCTGATCACTACCTTTACATACATTTTGATCATTGTAAAAATATATATATTTACAGATTGTATAAATAAATTTATAAATTAAAAAAAAATTATTAGATTTTAAAAAATATCATTTAGATCAATTAGCTAATTTATTTTAAGTATTCTACGAATCAGGGTTAGATTTTTAGATCGATGGACTGCTATTAGGTATGACATTATTAGTAAAAGATTTGTACTTTCAAATCTTAAGAAATATTTTCTTTAAGAATCCGTTACTCATAACTAGCCAGTTACTTCAAACGCCTGAAAAGTTTTAAGTAGGTTTAATGTTTAAGGTTAAAGTAGTTTAAATAGGATTCTACCGCATTTTACAGCTTTATTCTATTAGCTCAAACAAGTCGGATTATTGATTTATATACATATAACTAGTACTTAGGGATTTAGCTCTAGATAAATGAAAATAATTTTGCCAAAACAGTATAAAGGTAAATTATTATTACAATTTTAATTCTGTTTGCAGACAACATGAACTATGTTTACAATTACGAGACACACAAAATGCTGAGTACTTAGGCGAGATTTTTTCTAGATGTGACTTTAACTCCTCAATCTCGAGAGGAGCGAGAACAAGTAATCAATTTAATTTTATTAATTGAGAAAATATAAAACCTTTATATTTTCAAATTATTCAAATATTTCATATATTAATATTAGTTAGGGAGTGAGCTAGCGAAATGATTTTATTTATTTTTAATTCAAAACGTAGTATAATTTTTAAATTTATGAAATAAGCTTCATCTTTATCATACATGAGGTTGCTGTTTAATTCAAATAATAAAAATGTAGATATTATTTGAATCTTTCACCACCGATAATTCCTGAATTTTATCATAGGTAAGTTACTTAAAAAAAAAGCTATAAAAATAATTTCATCAAAACTTATTAACTTATTTACTTTTTTAAAAAAAATTTAAAAAAATTTATTTTAAACTATTAAAAAAAAAGAAAAAATATTTAAATTAAAATAAAATGTTATAATATCTCATATTATATTATAATTTCTTTCTATACTGGAAATACGCGTTAGATTCAATGAACTTGAGACATCAGACTACTTTAAAAGTCATAACGTTGGATAAGATGCTCAAAAGTCAAGTATGTACTAATCCTAATCTTCACCCTTTCATTAAAAATTCATGGTAAAAAATATATATACCCGTAAACAATACAAACGCTTTTCATGACTCGAAAGACGAGATATTATTTTTTATTACTATTTTTACCACATCTATATGTTTATGAAATTAACTATTGATCTAATACTTCAAGTCCCTCAATGGATATTGTTTATAAAGTTGTAACAAAATAACAGAAATTGTTTTGAACGGATGAATTGTAAATGTCACTATTTGTATAAATTTTTTTCATTAGTTATTTGATGTTCAATTTTTCGAAAAAATAATATCAAACTTTTGCAGCTTTCTATATATCAAAAATAATAATAATAATAACACATACGCATATAACAAAAATACTGTTATAATAAAAATTCAATCAACGAAAATATTTAAACAAATTTTATTCACCTCCACATTATTTATTAATATATGTCATTTAAATATATAATAAAATCTGATTTTAGTCACGATAATAATAACTCATTACGAGTTTTAAAATATTTTGTATTTTTTACTAAATATAAAATTGTATTTTAAATTAATTTTGTGTAACGTTTTTACTTGAATCGCTTTTTTTTTATATATTAATAGTACAACAGTTTTAAAATTACTCGAGTTTTCTCTCAATATCAAAATAAATCGATTTAAATTATAAAATATTGAACCACCAAAAGTGAATTGATCTGATCTGTATGATTAATTTAGAGTCTGCAAAAATCTGGAAAAGTGGCCGAAATCGGAAGAAAATATAAATGTCAAGTTTGGAGTTCCGTTGTTACCATTGTATTAATAAAACTAAAAAATTTAAAGCTGGCCGAAGGTTTGAGCGACCCTTACGTACGTTTTAGGTAGGTGTACCAAACTGTTTCGAATGCCATTTTGGGATCTAACGATTGAATTGCATTACAGATTGGGAGGTGAAAAATTCAAAAGCAAAGGTAATAATCAAATGCCCACTCCTACTTGGCTGGAACAGTTCGATTTACATCTGTTCGACGATCAGACTCAAGAGCTGGAAATCAACGTTTGCGTAAAAGATCGTTCGCGCGAAGAAATAGTAACCAGGTACCTATACGATAGTTTTATTATTTTTCGTGAAAAGTGAAAAGAATTGTAGATTCACAACAACCACCAATATCAAATTGTTGGGCTTTTAAATAAATGTTCGATAAAATGCCTATGGTTCTATTAGATTACCATTTAAGCTATAACGCTAAATATAATTCATAATTTTCCGCCACGTTAGCTAGGAAAATAACCGATAAACCTATAAATAACATGAGGATCGTGACTAAAGCATTTCTGATTTCGATTATTTTCTCTTTTGACCGAAGGAGTATTATTGACGTGTCTCTAGATTTAAAACTAAATACATACCATGTGTTTTTTAATATAATCTCTATTAATATGCATCCAAGATAACTTTTAAATATTACGACGTCATAAATTTCCTAGCCACATGATAGATGCTGTATCTATTTATTTCCATTTTGTTGGGTATCGAATCTAGAAATACGTCAATGTTACACTTTCTATTGAAAGGAAAAATGACAGAGACGGAAATCTTTTAACACGATCCATACGGTCCCCGTAGTTGTATCTGATATTGTCTTGGGTAAAAAGAATCGTATCTACTCAAAACTCACTCTTTGACTTAAATGAACAAAGGACTATTTTTCAATATAAATGCACAGTTTGTCGTGCTATAACGAAGTTCTTAATGGTAATTGCATTCATCGGAGTATTATTAATTAACTAAAACTAGGTTAGGGTTGAGTCACTGCTAAAGGCAAATGCTATTATCAAATATTATTT